GATACGACCGGTTGGACCAGTCTTGATAGGATTCTTGGAACTCAAATCAAGTTGTTACGAATTACTCACAGCGACTTGTAAATCAATCAACCATCGTTAACCAGATCGGAATGCTACCATTACCTGGATGAATGAGCATCGAATATCATTGAATTCACGCCGCTATACGTCGAAATCAGAGGATGTTTACTTCAGAAAAACTGGGTTGGGTTGCTGGCCTCATTATTGTTGGAGAATCTATTATAAGTGTGGCTCAGAGTTTTAGTTGGCCGCATTTTCAGACGGCCATATTTAATATACGTTGGATCGGGACAGACGGAAATGACTTTATAACACACCTTGGATCGGGTGGATGGAGTAAACATAAACAACTTAGTTCTCCGTTTGGTTGAGATTTCAGGGCACGTTTTTCGAGGTTGCAATCGACCCCGTGCGCACTGTACACGGATATTCTTAAAGGGAAATGGCCGAATTCGAGATGGTCAATCTCCAAGCTGCCGTCTGGTCCTCGTCGCCTTGGTCCCTTTTGGTCGCGTCCGGGGAACTCTTTGAGACCGCCGTCAGTGACAAGCCTCGTCCTCCACGCTTTACTGGGTCAACCCAAATCAGGGAGAACCGCTTCCTATGTGGATGGAGCCCTGATAATAAGGCCTCAATAGATTCTCCCAAGGTGCCCATAAATAGAGGGCCTCTCTTCTCATTTGAGCATCTCATTAGAGACGTCTTGAGAGAGATTCTAAGAAAGTAATCTTCTGTTGCAAGAAAACAAAAGATTAATTTCTTCTTATATGTGATGCAACCTATAATAATAAATTAATGAGGTGTGGGAGATTTGATGCAACATATAAGAGGCCTTTTAACATTCCAAGTTTAAGAATTTTTCATGTAAATTTGATGGTTTATGAGTTGTAGGAGATTTTTGTGATGGTTTGGATAGATTCTTCTTATATGTGATGCAACATAAGTTGAGAAATAATAGCAATTAGGTACTGTCTCCATAATTACTACCATATGGATCTATTTCCTTTACATATTCTCAACTCTTAAAGACATAAAAAATTCATTATCATTTTAGGTTTGGCTCATTATATTTCGTGCTAACCTAAATTTCAGATCACCATCAAAATAAGGTCCAACCAACAACTTTCTCAAAAAATTAAATTAATATATTTATTAAATATTTAAGAAGTCAAACGAATTAAATAAATATTAATAATCTCAAGCACATGCTAAACTTCAAGATACCCTTCATAATTATTGACACATATTATAGTTTTATTTTGTTTGAACCAGTGCCTCTCCTATATTTTATGAGATTGAATGTGATTTTGGCTTGTGAAATGATTTGTAGAGAAAAAATGAGTTTTATAGTTGAAAGAGTAGAATATATGGACCTCAAATTAAAGTAAAACTTGCCAAATTAATTTCTTGAAACGAAATAGTAGGTTTTTGAGAATCATCAAGAAATAATCCTTAAAATCTTGTAACCCTAATTATTAAGGTGATATCTAATTTATGGATAATATAGAAAAAAGTTGTCTCAAAAAAAGAGTTGGACTTGTTGATATAAATTTAAATAGTTTTCATATTTTAAATCCCAAGAAAAGACAAATCCGTCCCCTCCTCTTGTTGTCCTTAGTGTCCCACTAAGATCCAACAACCACTACAATATTGTTTAAAACCATAGTCTCCAAATGTTTTGCAAGGAAAGATATGTTTCATTTCAAGGATTTTCCCACAATCATGTGATGAGAAATATTTTTATTTATCTTACCTTCTCTCTTTTCTTCTCTTGTTTTGAATAATGGTTGGAATAATTGGTGCATAATAGTAGCCTTATGATCTTTTCCAACTAGGTAATGCTGCTACCCTCACAAGGTAGCATCCATTATTTCCTTAAATAAAATATTTACCTACCTCACTTGGGCAAAGAGGGAACATAACAGTAAGCAAAAAGCATTTCATTAGCCATTTTCATCAGTAAATTCTCTACAACATTCAAAACTATAACTAGGTTTTTACGAACTTATGATTCAAACATGTGATGGCATTGACCTAACAATATTCCTTGTTTCTATGTCCAATGTCAATATTGGGCTACATGATGGAGAGTCCTTTTGATAAATCAATGAATTTAACCTAGTGCTAACAACAATATCAATGAACCCTTTGAGCGAAAGAAAAGAGAATAGAGGCCAAAACAACCCCATTGATGAATGGAAAAATATTGATCTAGATCTACTAATCTAAATTAACATCCTATAAAATTAAATAAATTTAAAAATAATATTCAGAAGGTGCCCTATGATAGGTACTCCCCTCCACATTTGTGACAAGAGGAATAAGTCTCATCCACTGTCCCCCAACATTTTTGTGATGATATTATCCTCCACATCAGCAATACCCTATAAATAATGTAGGCTGACTTGGCCTTTGGGCCCAAGGCGACCCCAATGCTTGTTGGGGGAATTGGTGCAAGTACGTCTAGTTATTGAGTGCCATGTCTCCCTAATCACATTCTAGATGATAGTCCATAAAATAATGAATTTCTTTGATAGATGTAGCACACCTGACCTCATATGTTTACATCTTGTGGATCATTGTCAACAATTGGGTATACACTTGGCGCAAGGTAGGAGTCTTTGTTCTCCTTCTCACCCACTCATTCCTCTCGTCACTCCCTTTGGTCAAATAAATCTCAGGCCATATTGACTTTATTTAATGATTTTTTAGCTGCTTACTCTTCGCATGTAAATAAATTCACTAACATAATTGGCATTCTATAACTTAAATACTTCATAGGATATTACTAATATAGAGTCCCATAACTAACATATTATTCAGAAATATATCAATCAATAAACGTAGTTTCCCACCATCAAAACTATCTCTTTACCTAGGGAACATAATCACCAAAACTGAAAAAAATAGTATGCGAAAATTACTCATCATAGGAAACTAACTGATGTTTTGACAATTTATCCGGATTTAAAGGACCAAATGCAAAAAATGATGACCTTATTTGAACTCACCCGCCTCTAGAAGATACAACCTTGTCGGAGTGTGAGAGATTACATGCATACCATAATTTTATGTTTTATTTTTTATATGTTCTTTATTATATTGTATTTGCACACTTTCTCCCTTCCCGATGAATTTGATCCGGTACGTGAAGCCGGATTCACTGGATCCGGTCCACATTGTTCGGAACTGTATAAATATCTGTACCCGTTATCGAATTTGATTAAAATTTTCCAGTTTGTCCTTTCACTTTCTCTCTCCAATCTTGGGAGCCGCCGGCAACCAACCGAGTCTTTGATAAATAGGGAGTTATCGCCTCGTCGTCGTGATTTTACTATCACAGATTCTGTTGGTGGATTTCACACGTAAACTATGCCCTTCACAAATATCCGAATTGAGGAAATGAGGATGGATTTCCTATACTCAGCACTGGGGACCGTTGCGAGACAGGGAACTGCCTGCCATGGAGGCTGCCTTGTCCAGCAGTTCTGTCCTCGCAGCCACCGCCATAGCTCTGTTGCTGGGGCTCCTCTTGCTCCGAGTGCTCCTCCGACCGAGACGACTAGGAAGGAAGAATAGGAGATACGCCCCGCTGGTGGCGACGGGGTGTCCACACTTATGTATCCAGGTTTCGCCGAGGCAGCTCCTGGTGCAGGGGGGCGGAGTGAGAGAACGGAGAGGACGACCATCACTGTGAAGGTCAGGTAAACAAAGGCCGAGTAAAAGCTGGAAGAGGAGGCTTCCAGCCCCCTGCGCTGGTTGCTGAGTGTCTGAAGGAAATCGCGATTACACCCAGAGAGCGAACTGTTGCTTCCTCGATTGATTCTCCAACTCGGTGGGGAGGGAACGAATTGTTTTGTTCCAGATCGGATTTTTTTTCATCAGATTCCACAAAACCTCCACCGTGCTGGAAGTCTAAAGGATAAAACAAAATTTAGTAGATTTTCCAGAAACAATCTGAAGGGCAATAGGTGGGGATGCAAATCTCAACATAGTACTAAGAGAGGGTTGAGTAGGTGGGGATGGAATGTATAGACCAGAATTAGCCGGCACGGGTGGGTGCAACAGGCAAGAGCTAAAGCACCCAATAATACAACACGAAGGTTGTTGATGCACTCAATTTTCAGTTTATATTTTTGAACTCTTAAAATATAATTATGAAATTATGACTCTATAGGGATGATTTGAGCATAATACAAATCTCATCTTCTATAAAATATTAAAGACAATTTATTTTTTATCTAGAGAAATACAATTATATATATATAAAGAGAGCTACCTAAGCTAGCATAGGTGGGTGTGACGTGCAAGATCTAAGCAGGAAGTCTGTTGATGAACTCAATTTTCAATTTATATTTGAACTCTTAATATATAATTATGAAATATTAAGTAAATGTAAGTTGAATCCGTAGGGATGATTTGATTTAATACAAATTCATGTTTTTATAAACGTATTTAAGACTAATTGTTTTTAACAAAAGAAATAAAAATTAAATAAAAATAGAAACTAGGGTTTAAGATGAATCCCACAGTCTCTCACAACTAGATGATGCTCCTGTGAAGGAGATAGGGAAAGAAAGGGAAAATACTCCTGTGTGCTGGAGAGAGGGAGAGAGATAATAAAGAGAGAGGGGAGAGGGTGATAGGAGAGAAGAGATAAGGGCAATCCAAGGGAATTGACTGGTCAAAGAGGACGTGTGTGTATGAGAGAGGAAGAGATAAACAAACAAAAAATCAACGAATCAGATTTCTTGTTCGCATGAGGCAGGTTTTGTCGGTAGGAGAGATCACCGGCGAAAGCAGGAGGACGAAATCAACAAAAAGCATAAAAGTCAATTAAAAGGGAAAGATGAGGAAGAACAGAAGATGTGGGAGGAGAGAAAGAATGCTGAAAAAATAAAGGAAAATGCCACTTATGAACGAAATATATGTACATACCGCCGAAGGGAAGACTTGGGGCCATCTGAAGATGCTGTTTCTCAGGGGTTTCCATCGATGAAGAAGAGGTAGAAGATGATCGCTATGGTGATCCCTCCCAGAGACCAGATCACGGCGGCGAAAGCGAACGACATCGTCGATGAGAGTTTGAATGGAAATAATATTATGAGGATGGTCGAAAGGACAAATATGATGATCCTCAGGCGTCCCCTTCTTTCCGGCGGCGCCGCCTCGTAGGATCCCACGCACCAAAAGAACAGCATCAGGATCGCATAGGCAGACACAACAAAGGCCGCCGTCCATGGATCGCTCCGGGCTCGATAGGTTGCCACGAGCGATGTATAGGTGAGGAACCCTAGAGGGGCCTTACTCAACAAGAACCGGACCCAGGTGTTGTCCAGGAGACTCCGGAGGCCCACGGAGGGATCCATCGCTGCGTGCGGCCGATGAGGCGGCCGCGGGGGCGGCGGTGGCGGCGGTGGCCCACCCGGGTGCGTGGTGCTGGGGGTGGGGATTTCGCTGGACTAAGATGGGGAGGTAAGGGAGGAAGGGTTGGAAGCACTCGCGCGTTTTAAGGCGAGTATTCATTCCTCCACGAACAACTATTCGTAAAAAAAATATTAACTGATGTTAAAATAAATGAATAAAGTTACTCAGCATAATGATTAATTCTTGGGTAAATGAGCTCTTTTGCACGAAGGGTTAAAGAGCATAATTACACGAAGGGTACTTCTTGGGTAAATGAGCTATCTTCCCCTCCTAGACCCGAGAAGGAACCTGGTGAGGAGCCTAGGCCCGGCAACGGGAAAGGCGAGGGGTTGGGTTCTTGGTGGCATCGGTGACGGGGGGGACTTCGGCGACGGTGTCTTGGACGGCGGAGCGATCCTTCCACCTCTTCGAGGCGAGGAAGAGGAGGAGCGTGACAGCGACCGCCGCCATTGGGAGAAACCAGATGCGGAGTAGCGAGGGAAGAGGAAGGTCATGGCATGTCCTGAGGACAAAGGCCGCCGAAGCCGATACGAGGGCGACGGGTTGCCCCACCTTTTGTATCCAGGCCGAGGCCGAGGCCGAGGCCGTCGCCGGAGCAGCTCTGAGAGAGAGAACAGAGAGGACGACCGCGGCCGTGAAGGTCACTGCGAGCAGCGCTAAGGAGAACTGCACTGGGACTGTTCCTCCATGGAGAGACTGCGGCGGGGGTGGAGACGGGGATTTTAAAGCAGATAAGAACATCAGGGGATCAGGTCAGAGGTCAGGGGAACCGGGTGAAATCATGAAAAAAATCATATAAAATGATGAATACCGGGCGGTCATGTCTTTAGGTGGCGGCGGTAATGTCTTAGGTGACGGTCGGCAGTGATGAATTTAATGTCTTCAACTAGACAACTCTTAGATCATATAAAATGATCTATGGCCATCAAAATATACTTATATCTTAAGATAAGTTTTATGATATATTTTTTCAGATTTAGAATAAATTTATGTACTTCGTATATATATCTTGAGATACTTTAAGCCAAAAAAAATGAAAATGAATAAAATTGACCTAAAAATAATATTTCTATTTTGGAAAGAATATACATTTATTTTTATCTCATCTTATAAGATCTTATTAATCACTAAATATTTTCCATTAATATACTATAAAATCTAACCATTATTTTTTTATCTGCATAATCCACTATTATTTTATTTTATCTTCCATAATATTTGTTCAATTTGTGAGGAGTGAGATATTTACAATTTAGACTTTATTCTAATGGACTGTGGGTTTTGAAGGATGAAAGAATTATCTACTTTAATATGAGATCTAATGAATTCATTAAAATTCAAATGTCACCTTTAAAAGTATTTGTTAGTTCATATTCATCATTTTTTTTCTCCTCATTAATTGAGTTGACTCTTTTATAAAAATTTTATTTCTCAATTCATCAAATTTGTCGTCATTTCAAGATATATCATCTTTTAATTTATGTATATTATATGCATCATCATCATCACCATCAATTATTAAAATCGATTGCTGTAAAATAATAATTAGATTGATTAATTTCATGTCCTATATCTCTCTCAACTAGTTTCTACTCACTTAAAATCTATTTTTCTTTATTTCAGCCCTTTCTCACTTCTATTAAAAATTGAATATTTTTTTCACAATCAGTTATTGTTTCTTTATTTAAGGGTTTTTCCTTCACATCATCCTCATTATATTTATTCATCAATCATGAATAATAAATAACTTTATTCAAATTTTCTGTTATTATATTTTCAGTTTTAATATTCTCATTTCCTTCTAATAGTTCATCTATTTCCTCTTCCTTAAATGATTGAGGATAAAGATCATATAAAATCTTCTCACTCTTCAATGTATTCATTATACTAACATGTTCATTTTATGAACTTTTTCCTAAATTTGTCATACTAGATTCTCTTTGCTACAATCTTATTGTTGAATGATTTTATAAATTTTTTATGGGCTCACTAAGTAGTTGTTTCTCTTCTTTCTTATTTTTAAAAGCCTCTATAAATTAACATCATTTGGTTCATTATTTGTTGCATTATTTGACTCATTTGTTGTATCATATTTATAAAATCAAGTTAGGTTTAAGATGACTAATTTTTTAATATATTTTATTGTTTTATATAAAATTCAAATTTTAAATTAGGTCTAAATACTTTTTGATTTTGAATATTATTTGGATCTCTCCACAAAAATTTTTCCCTCTAATTAGGATTATAAGAATTTAAAAAAGGTTTCCTATTTTTATTAAAACTATGGGCTACCTACACTTGTTTTTACGTAGACTAAAATGATTGATCTAATATATGATATTGAAATTTAAAATTATCATTTACACCACACATAGAACATCTGCTAAATTGAGGGTTAAGAGGTTTTTTAATATTTTCAATAAGTAAATCATAATTTTCTAATATTTGATTAATTTATATTTATCTTATTCTTTAAGTTAGAATTATTTTGTTAATGTAATTCATAAATTCATCTATTCTTATCTTTACCATATAACTCAAAAGAGGCCTGATCTATAAAATTTTCACTCAAATTTCATAAAGGCTATAAATCTTATCAATGATTTTCTTCATAAAAGTTCATCCACATGTAAAATTAATTATATTTCTATGTTGTTCTAATAATCAAACATAATTTTTTTATTGAACTATCACTTGGGGTATAACATGATGGAATTACTTTCTAAGTAAACTCTTGATTTTTTTTTATTTCTCATGTAAAGTTCATTTTGGTCTTTGAACAAAACTCTATATATATTTTTCTAATATTTTGAGTTTCTCCTAATAGATAAATTTTCAAAGAAATACTTGTTCTGTCTTTCCAACTAACTAATTATCTATCTAATGTGGATAACCAAATTATCTATCAAAGAAATATAAATTTAATTTTTCTTTATTTTAACTTGTGAATAGAAAAATCATATATAATAACATAATTAACTAAATATTCACATTAGTTATATAAAAAATATCTTTTTCAATTTAACATAAATATAAGATTATTTGCCATGAGTTAATATATAAAATATATTATTATTAATTATTAACTCATAATAATGAAGACATACTACATCCCCTAAGTTAGATTATTATTAGTCCTATAGTAATAGAAATTTAAAATTTATTTAGATTTAATAATGTTTCAAAATATTATATTTTTAATATTATTAATAATAATAATTTAAGAATGATGAACCTCTAGAAACTTTAGATTCTTATATCAAGTATATAAATAAAAATGATATCAATCTCTTAAATATTTAAGCACTCTTTTAAATAACAATTTAGACTTCATTTTTTCTATTCACACTTTTATTACTTCTTCACTTTTAGATATATTTTAAAATACTTCAATTATCAATGTTCATCTTAGAATAATATTGATCCTATATATTTTTTTTCAAGAGTTAGATTATTGAAGTTTATACTATTTTTCTTATATTTTTTCTTTAGTGCATAAGTAACTTTTCTTGTAGACAAATTTAACAATAAGAATAATGTCTCGCACCCTCCATATGTATTCTTTATTTTTAGAGCTTTCACATTATCTACTTATTTGGTAATAAATATTTTTTTATAGATAAATTTTGACAATGAGAATGCTATCTCACACCCTCTATGTGTATTCATTTTCAAAATTTTTACATTATTCTTTTCTTCTAAAATTTAAAATAATTGATTTCTCCTCACAAATTTTATAAATCAAGTTTTAAAAATCTCTATTAAACTCAAATAATCAATCAAAATTTTACATCAAGTAAATATTACTCATCAAGATCATGAAGTGAAAATCTATACAATAAAATTCATGTTATCTATCATGTATCTATGGGGTATTCTAACATTTAATGCTATTAAATTATTATTCTAAGTTAATAATAATCATCTTAATATCTTTTGGTATCAATCATTCTAATTGATTGAATTTTCATGCATGCAATATGATGTAAGAAATAAAGTATATTTAATAGTTTTGACAGTTCTAACAACTCTATTTTTTTTCTAACAACTATGAATTTGTCAAAATTTTGTAGAAATAAATCAAAACTATCATCTTTGTAGCTATAATTTTCAAATTTTAACTATATTTCTCTAAGAGGTTGAAATGTGAGAAAAAGGTCTCTAAATTTTTGAATCTCGAATTATTTTTTCTGCTGTTTTGATAGTAAGTGGACTGTTTTCTATTATTTTTGATAAAAAACTAGAAAAAAATGCTATTAAATTCATGATTTTTTTTTCTCATTTCTTTTTATATGTGAGTTCGAAAATAGATTCAAACAATGTGCTAAATCATTATACAACCATAATTAAAATTTAATACTTCAGCCCCCAACTTAAAAATGACATTATCTTCATTGACACAGAAAAACTGAAATATAATATATAGAAAAGATAATTTTTAAGTAAAACATATATACATGTAAATTTAAATAATAAAAATACTATCATAAAAGGTAAAGTTCAGAAGGACATCACCTTAACTTCGTTTTTGGATTTTCCACCTCATCCTTCATGCTTCCTTCTATATTTTTATTTTAAAGAAACATGCACATAAAATATGATGTGAAATTCTAAAAAAAATAGAACTTCAAAAGACAACATAATTAATGAAATAAAACCATGGGTTGCCTCTCATGTAGTGCTGAATTAAATTTTTGAGCTAGACAAATCAATCATAATCTTGAATTTCTTTTAACAAAAAAATTTCTTTTTCTACAAGGTGTTCATTTTCTATATAATGTTTAAGCTGCTGTTCATTTACCTTAAATTTATGATCATCTCTAGGATCTTCAATCATCACAGCCCTATGACCATATAACTCTTCTAGCATATATGACCCTATCTATTTTGATTTTAATTTTCTTGAAGTAATTTCAGCCTAGAATCATAGAGCCACAACTTTGTGTCCAACATCAAAGAAATTAATGCTAATATATTTATCATCAAATCTTTTAGTTTTTTCTTTATATATTATTTGATTTTCATAAGCTTCTTTCCTCAACTCCTCTAATTCATACATTTGAAAAATACTATGACTCCTATTGATTTTTTATTCATACTTAATTTTTTATAGACTTTTATGTTTTATGTTTTATTTCCACATAAAAATGATATGATTTTTCAAAAATGAGACAAAATGAAGCATTCCTATGTAATTTTTATATGATGTTCTATAAACCTATAATACATCTTGTAATTTTGTGGGTCAATCTTTCTTATCAAGTCTAACTATTTTTTTCAAAATCTTTTGGATTTCTCGATTTGTTACTTTAGTTTGCTTATTTGTTTGGGGGTGATATGGAGTGGCTAGTCTATAGTGTATTTCATTATTCATCGACAATTTTTTGAAGTGTTTATTCGTAAAATGTGTTTCTCCATCACTAATAATTACTCTAGGACACTCAATGTAAAAATATTTTTCTACATAAATTTCATCATGATTTTATGATCATTAGTTCTAGTAGTAATAGCTTCTGCCCATTTAGATATATAATCAATTACAAGCAAAATAGATTCATATCTTTCTGATGGTGTGAATGGACCCATGAAGTTTATACCTCATACATAATTTTTTTTGACAACTAACATGTTACTCATGAACATTTAATCTCTTTTGTTCCTATTACATGTAGATTGTGACTAAATATATGTTTCACTAAATTATATAACTATTGTCGGTTAATAACAACCACAATGAAATATTTTTGCAACTATTTTTTGTCTAGAAAAATGTCCTCCACAATTAGGCAAATGACACATGTTAAGTTAGAATTATTTTTCGACTTTGATTTTCTTTTTCATTCACACATCTCTTTAAAATTTGATCATTTATTAAAAAACATAAATTAGGATCATGTCAAAAATAATTTCTATTTTAGAAAATATTTTTTTAATATTATTATCCTACTATTCTAGAAGTTTTTTAGAAACCAAAAACTTGACAATATGTGTATACTATGGTGAGGGTTGATGTTGAGCTGCAATCAATTATTCATTGGGAAATATATCTTGTAAAGATGGTACATTTGTTCATATATCACTCAATCTGGAAAGATGATTAGTAATAACATTTTCAAAATATTTTTTATCCTTTATTTTTAAGTCAAATTCTTACCACAATAAAATATATCTTAATAAATATGACTTTGCATCTTTCTTATTGAATAAATACTTCAATATTACATGATCAATAAATAATAATTTTAGTTCCTAAAATATATGATCTTAATTTTTATAAATAAAATACTACAGCTAGTTAATCATTTTCAATCGTGGTATAACTTAATTGAGTATTGGATATAGTTTTGTTAGCATATAAAATTACCATGAGTTTTGACTATTTTTTTTGTCCTAGCACAACCCTTATTGCATTATTCGAAGCATCACACATTATTTCAAATAGAAGAGATCAATCAAGAGCTTATTAAATAAGTGCCTCAATAAGTAATCTTTTAATTTCAGAAAAAAATTCAAAATATTTCTCATCAAAATTAAAATTCACTTATTTAGATAATAACATGATAATAGGTCTAAAGTTTTTAAAAAATCTTGAATAAATTTTTTCTATAATAACCTGCATGACCTAAAGAAACTCTCATCAACGGTCCTTGAAACTATGAGTGCACATGAATCTCACAAAGAGAGAGTAATTTGTGTATTATTGGTCACCCAAAAGAAGAAACTGCATGGGGGAATCACACGAGATCTGAAGGTCATGTGCCGAGACCGGTGTTGCATTTTCCCTCCTCCGGACCAACGAGCAGGTGAGGAGCCTAGGTCCGGCAGCAGGAAAGACGAGGGGTTGAGTTCTTGGTGGGGCCGATGATGGGAAGGATTTCGGTGCCGGTGTCTTGGGTGGCAGAGCGACACTTCCACTTGTTCCAGGTGAGGAGCAGCAGCACGACGGCGAGCGCCAATGGGAGAAACCAGACGTGGAGTAGCGAGAGAGGAGGAAGGGCAGGGCATGACCTGAGCACAAAAACCACCAAAGTCGAAACAAGGGCGACGGGCTGCCCACACTTTTCTATCCAGGGCATCGCCGGAACAGCTCCTCCTCCAGAGGGGCGGAGGGAGAGAACGGAGAGGACCACCGCCACCTTGAAGGTGAGGTAAACAAGGGCTGAGTACAGCTCAAAGAGGAGGCTGCTTGTGCCCCCCTGCACTCGTTGCTGAGTGTCTGTCATCATGAAGCAGATTGCGAGCAGCGCTAACAAGAAATAGTAGTTTTGACCCATTTTGATCCACTTAGCCAAGTTTAGAAGAAATAGTTGTATTTTTTTCTTATTTAACATATTTATTATTATTATTTTTCATTCCTCTCTCTCTCTCTCTTGTTAGTCAACAGTTCTCTCACTAGCTTTTGTGGTGGTGTCGATAGTAACACAACATCACATGTGTGGAACAAGTAGACTAGCACACTCTCGTGTTGGATAATGGCTGGTGATCCACCGGTAGATGTTCTAGGTTGTGTTGAAGCAAGGGAACAAGATGTCAAAATTGATGCCAATGGACGTAGGGAGCATGTAGCAATAATAGGGCGACATAGGGAGCAAGAGTATGGTTCATGTACTAGGAGACTATTAACCAATAGACATAGGGAGCAAGATTATGGTGCACGTACAAGGAGACACTGTAGCAGGGAGCAAGAAGATTATGGCCTATTAATGGTGTCAAGGCGATCTTGAGACATTTTATCCTGTCATTTAAAAAGGGGAAGATCTCCTCCTGACCAGCTAGATGGGTATTCTCATGTTCTGGGTTGTGTAGTGTGTTCATTAACGTCGGTGCTGACCCCTCTTGTGTACTTATATTTCCTTTGAAGCTCTTTAATGTGGCTTTTCTACGGTATTTTTTCTATTTAGTCCTCTAAATGTTTTTGATTTAAGTTACAGGCCAGGAGGGAGTAGGAATTTTAGAGAAGCCTTGTTGACCCGAGCTTTTGGGCTTATTGGTTAGTAGGCCGGTTTTAATAACCGCGGGGTTTAGAATATCTACACCCTTGCGTCTCACGACAGACGGGCCTCTCCCCCCCGGCGGCGGCCTGTTCGGCAAAATCACAACCTTCTTGCCTCTGCGAGGCCGAGTTCTTGTGGAGCTACTGTCACCCCAGCGCGGTTATGCCGGGGAAAGGGCAGAGGAGGCGGGAGAAGAACTACAGGGCCGCCCACGGCGGCGACTCCCGCCTACCACCCCCGCCCGATCCTCGTGCTGCGGATGCTGTCCCTTCCAAGCTCCGCCGCCTTATGCAGCTCATGAAAGGCCCTCCCCTTGGCCAAGGTGCCCCCCTTCTCTCTATCTCTATCTCTCTCTCTCTCTCTCTCTTTTCTGTTCTATTCGTCGATTTTCTAAGCATTGGCGTTTCCCTTGACGTGGGTACAGGGACTTCTGTGGGTAGTAAAGACGGTCGGGGTCGCCAGGATAAACCAACCAACCGAGGCAACTCAGTAAGGCTCTTTCGATGCATAGTCACTTGAGTGTTCGCCGTAATTCTAACCATCTTCTTCGTATTGGTATTTCAATAGTGGTTTTCTGGCGATTTGGATTCCGTCTTATTGTTTTGAGTTTATTTCTAAGCTGGATGTTTTCCCGCATTGGTTAGCACAACGCTAGACGACGACTGTACTGCAAGTTCCTGTGGGAATCACTCTGTGGGATACATACACTGTCTCTCACTGGGACCGGAAAGTTATGTCTTTATGTTGCCCTGATTGATTTCTTTGAATTTTACAACAATATTATCGAGAGATTCTTTCTTCCCTCTGTCAGGGAAGACTGCTACTCGATGACTCGGGGGAAATAGTGGTTGTGGACATTCCCAATTCTTATATCTCACTTGACAGCCACATAGCGTTTGAGATGCGACCTAAATTTGAGTGGGTGCCTCAGTATTAGATTTGGATGACAGCCGCAGTTGAAGCTTCTTGTAGCTCTCGGTATGACAAGTTCATCAACACGTGATAAAATGTGACTTGAATGGCATATCGGGACGAAATACTTGTGAAGGGCGGCACCAGATGCTATAAACCACCAAGGAAGCTATGCTGCCTGCTAAGGAGATTCCACCATGAAAACGTGTCTATCTACCATGATTGTTTTCTTTTTTGCTTTTATTCTTACTTTCGAGTTGACCTCTGTGGAGGGGATTGCTTGGTTGTTCTTCTTTGTCATGTTTCCTTTCAGAAAAAATTCTCTCTTGTTTCCAGATGTCTACTCTTTCCCCTTCCATATTTTCCAGACTGCTTCACTTTTTCTGGTGTTCGTTATTGGCATGGATAGTTTTGAGTTTTACACCATCCTCGTCCCCTTGAGAAGAACTCATTTCCTCATTAGTTTCGGGCTATTCCGAGTTAGGGATGTATCAATACCATTATTTATCTGGTTACAACATCAAGATATTATACCATTGATAGAATTTAAACTGGTTGACCAGATTGAGGAGACATTATTGAGCAAGATGAAAGCGGATCCTGACGAAATGGCAGATATGGGTTCGCATGATAAGAAAAAAAGAAAACGAGCAAAGAAAGGTGCCAGGGACCTTCGATTTCAGGATCTAGAGCTAGCTGGTGGACAGAGGAAGCAGAAGCGTAAGGAGTAAGTAAATATTTAATGTTGAAGATTTCTTTTTTCGTCATATAATGTCCATAAGATTCATTTAGATTCTTGTAATCTCCGAGTTAATGTCACCCAAGACGTTGTTTTGGAACGGTTAAAGACATAATCTATCAATGAAAGAACTTGGTTACAAGTGGTTATTGTTTCTTCTTTAATTTTGAAGAAGCTTCCTTTGACACTTCAAGAATAATTTTAAATGGGTAATTCCCTAATCTATTTTTTGGTAGAGAAAGGGCGCAATGCTTCTTTAGTCGCATTAAATCTGATTGGGTTTTCTCTGAGTCATGCTTTGTAGCAACTGTTGTTTTCTTTTCTTTGGACGAATCGCAAATATGAAAGCTCAAGAAAGGTCCTCGTTTTTCTGCTTTGTTTACTCATCTCTTCTTTTGTAATTTACATTCGTGCTATTACGGAGCCAGACTTGTTTGAAAATTAAGTAGATTCTGTATGTAACTTAATGAACTGCTTTTAAGAGCTATCTGTGAATAAGATAGTACAAGAGCCTTAGGTTTATTTTGAAGGATAAACCTGTGCTGAAAGCCTAGATAAGCTGTGAAAGAATTTGAGGTCTTGCTATAGATTCAAACTCACAGGAAAATTTTGATGTTATCACAATTTATCCATGTTTACCATCTGTATGAAAAGTTGGATCAAGCAGTACGAGTGACAATGTTTGTTCTTTAATCGAGATATCTCAAGGTCAAGTTTTTCTGAAACAAAATTTATAATATTTTTTTCAAATGTAAATGAGCAACTTTCAAGGGGTTTCTCCAAAACAAGGGTTACCCATTTCTAATTTTGGAGGGTTGGCTCGTGCCCAAAATGCAGATAACTTGCTAGCATATTAGTTTCATGCTTTGAAGGTTAAAATTTACAAAGCTATGTTTTTTTTTTTTGATAAGATCGAAAGCCGTTATGCCCTGTTTTAGATGCCTTCGGTTGAGTACTTGCTGAATCTAAAACTGTGTTGCTTTCAAAACTTTCCTGTTCTTTGAGGTGGATTACTTGTTGGGAGGTAGATGGTGAACTTAGGGTGTTGCCTCGTTGTTGTCTTTCTCATCAAAGTTCCTAACCAACAACTCAGTGCTCTTCTTCAAATCAAAATGGCCGATGATATTGATAACACTATGTGCATTTGGGTTACTGCGGGTTGGGTTCTCTTTTCCATCTAAATTATGTTATGCTGGATCATATTGATCAGGTACTTGAAAGCAAGAAAGATAAAAAGCAAGAGAGCGAGGAACAGTGAAAGTTCAGAGTTTCCTGGCCGTCAGGAAGTTAAATTTGGTGAAGTTGTCGATGCTCCGCCGAAGCTATCATTTCCTAAGGTATCGCCAACTACTTGCCCATGCAGTTTAATCTCCATGTGATCGTGGATTTGAAAGTTCTCTGCCATTTTTCCAGGGTTTAAAGACTGCCCTTGATGCTTCGACTGAGAGGCGTCGTCTGCAGGCCATTGAGGCATATCGGAGTCAGAAAGGATGGGAATCAAGACTTGGCATCCATCTCCCTCTCGTTTCCGAAGGGCATTCTCAATAGTTCTTGGAATTTTCCAGGATGTCTGGGGGGACTAAATTTGCCCTCATCCGCATCTGATTCTCCGTGTGTCTTCGAGCAGGATCTGTGGCATCCATCCGGAGATCTTTCTGGGTTTGTAATGGATTTTTACCCTTTACAAGACGATCCTATTGCATGTAGTGACGATATTTTTATTAATCTCACTGTTCGCAGCACGGGTTTTTGGATTGTTCCTCTCAGCTAATTTCTGCTAAACAGTTTCATTCTGTGGGGCCACAGAAAGTCGACGTCCAGTGATCCGTACGACATAAGCAGATGGGGTAGGTCAACGCTAGAATTGTCTTGGAAAAGGTCGCAGGCGCAGCCCCAGCGTCTGCAGCGTGAGCATGGTTCGGTAGCCAACGTCCTTCCCGTCGTCGGCCACCTCGAACGCGAAGAAGTGGAGGAGGACGGCCGCGAAGATCTTCATCTGGCGATAAGCGAACTCCCTCCCTAGACAAACTCGGGGACCCGCCTGTTGATTTCAAAGATCTGATCAAGTCTAACTCTCAGCGGAAAGGAAGACAGGAAGAGGGGCTCACCTGAAAGGCGGTGAACATGAAAGGGCTCTCGTGGCGGAGATTACCCCCCTCATCAAGCCACCGTTCCGGTCGGAAATACTCCGCGTCGTCGCCCCACAGGTCCTCCAGCCTCCCCATGGTGTAGGGCAGATAGACCACGACGTCACCGGCTTTAACGTCAAATCCATTCGGCAGCGTGTCGTCCGAGAAGCACATCTTCGGGTCCTTCCCGCATTAAAACACATCGGTAAATAGTACGTACCCGAAGAGTTTTGATCAGATGGTTATTTCCACAGGAAATGACCGGGGTTGGCGTTGGACGGCACCTCTGGAACACCGGGGAAGAGACGCATCGTCTCGTTCAGTGCGGCGTGGAGGTAGGGAAGATCATCGACGGACGCAAGGTTCTCTGCGAACTCCCCCATGGACAACCCGGGGGAGCTCCCCTTCGTCGCCTCGTTCACCTCTTCCGCCACCTTCTCCTGCACATTCGGGTGCTTGCACATCATATAGAAGAACCAGGACAGAGTACTTGCCGTGGTCTCCTTTCCGGCGATCATAAAGTTGAGAATGATATCCCTCAGGTACTTTCTGCTTATTTTTTCCGGCTCCTTCTCCCTCTCCTCCAGGAATCTCGACAATAAGTCGTCCTTCCTCATCTGGCTCCAGAAGGATAACTGGTTACAGGGTGAGTGAAACATCGAAATGGAAGGAGCGGGAGGATGGGGAGACCCACCGAGTCGACCCTCTCTCGGGACAGTTGTTCAATTTTTTGGTCGATGATCTTGTAAACGAAGTCGTCGATTACTCTGATGTTTCTCCTCAGCGTGGCCTCTGTTCCGACGTTCAGAGCCCTCTTGATCTTCCACAAGACATCCGCGTATCGCCAGATCATCAGCTCGCTGGAATCGTCTAAAGCTTTGGATAATCGGGCCCCTTCCTCGTTTGTTCCGAGGAGGGTGTCGAGGTCCACGCCGAACCCGATTTTGAATATGGAGTCCATCGTAGATTTCATGAACAAGTCCTGCGGAGCGCCGTGAATGACCATCCTTCATAGAAATCTCGGATTCGTCGGCGTGACTACGAAACTTACTTGGATGTCCACCGGCTGGTTCGAGCTCGCCGCCTCAGAGATGAGCTGCGCTAGCCTCGCGGCATGGCGTTTGAAGGTGTTGCTGCTGTAATCCCTCAGATTCCTAGTAGAGAACTCGAAGCTCGCGAGCTTCCTCTGGTGGCGCCACTGGTCGCCGTCGACGGCGAAGATCCCGTCGCCGAGGAGGTCCTCGAGGTGGTTGTGGTTGTACGAGCCCTGAAAGGTTGAAGCAGGTCTTAGGCCTATCCAAACAGCAGCCATGAAGGACCAGAGGAGGGGGCCAATTCTGTCGGGAGACATCTCCAGGAATATGTGGGCATCTTTCGATGATCCAGCCGCTCACCCAACCTCACCTTGCCGTAGTTGGCGAAGTTGATGCTGAGAATGTACTCCACGTCGCGAGGATCTGCCACGTAAACGTAGCTCCGGCTGGGATGGAAGAGCCTGAAACATTTGAATCTGCGGGCTTGGTCCGTGTAGTAGTCGTGGATTCTGCGGAAGTTGATGATCAGGTTTATGAAGGAGCCCACCAGGGGGGCGTATCTCTTCTTCTTCCTTCCCAGTCGTCCCGGCCGGAGGAGCACTCGGAGGCAGAGGAGCCCCCCCAGCAGCAGCGCTATGGCGGTGGCAGTGAGGAAAGGATGGCTGGACAGGACAGGCTCCATGGCGGGCACCTCCCAGTTTCGCGACCAATCTCTGTAGCTGAGGACGGCGCAGAACGGTTTGATAAGAAATCCTCCCTATCCTCTTCTAAGTAAATTCTATGGTCAGTATGACATAGAAAAGCTGTCATGTTACAATGACAGACGCCAGAATGACGACAGAAGTTGAAGACGACTTTTATTTGCATTAGACTTTTCCACATGACAAGTAAGAGTGCGTCCTTACATTCTAGCAGTTGCGATGGTGAAATGATCCCTAGAGAAAGATATGTTATTTTATTACAGTTTATAGTAGTTTGTATTAATACGCTTCACGTGACTTAATTATTTACTGTTAGAAAAATTAAATTAAAAATATATAAAAATTGAAAGTATTAAGTTTTAGATTTTTAGAACTTTTTTTTACTGATAAAGGCTTCAAAAATAGTGAATTATTTTCAGGTCAATCAAATGATTGTAAGATAATATTAGGTAAAATTTTAGAATTTTCTTCAAATGATATTATTCTTTAAACACTTTTTAAACTAAATGATGAAGATTTTTTTAAAAAAATTATAATAAAGAGAAATTTAGTGTAGATGTAAAGATGACATCAATGCCACAACGAACAAGATTCAAAGGTAATTTTTGACTAAATGGTTACAGATGATTTTATTAATTAAATTAAGCTATGTGAAAGTCAAAAGGATCTTAATTGACTAAGAATAGTTTTGAAACTTGAAGTCACACAAAATCTCACTAATTTAAATAAAAATTAATTTAAAAATAGAAAATACATAGTTTCAGTATCATGACAATAATTTTTAGAATTCTAAGTATTTGAAGTATTATCATATGTTATTCATGACTTTAAAAACTCTTTTTAGGTATTGATAATATAAATAATTTATTAATCATCTTGTGAAGTCTAGAAATTGATTAAATAGACTTACGAATAATTTTTGAATGCTATCATTAGTGAAGTAAAAGTTTGGGGACTTTCAAATCTCTAACATGTATCACTTGGTGGAGATAAGTTGGATGAAGATAAAGTACATCTTAAAGAGCTTCATCCTTAGATCTATGTAGCAAGATGATGTTTTTCATTACATTTAGTATATAATGAAGAGATGATGATTAATCTCTTAGTGGATTACCCTATTCTCAATGACAGATTGCTCATTGATTAACTAGAGATGATTTTCTTAAAGAATTTATGATATTATATTCAAAATCTTTAGTCAATTACTAACAATGATTGATAAAAAAATATTAATAAAATTTATGTTGATGGGTAAAAGATTTTAGTAACTTAATTGACCTACACTTTATAGAAAAATTAAGAGTTAACCAAATAAAAATAAATAAATTTTAGCTCTAATAAGATTTGAACCCAAAATGGTCTCTCAATTGCATGAGAAAGATAATATGAATTATCCACATACCCTTGACCTAGTGATGTCATGGAAGCATTTTCTTCTTATGTTGCAAGAGTATTTAGGTATAAAAATATCAGAACATACTAGAATATTGTTATAGGTTTAGTCCCACATCAGTTGTTTTCCAATGTTTGAAACACATGTTTTCAATATACCTCTCTCATATACCCATGTGTGTACGACCACTTCTTGTCCCACACTCAATTGACTGCTAGTGATGTTAAAGGGGAGTGAAGTACATGTGACCTAATTGGTTCTTAACCACTCAAGCCCCCAATTCATGATTGACTAGGTGCTATTTTTTTCTTTTTTTAGTTATATTTTTCTTCATTTTATTTCTAAAATATGATTATAAATTATAGAAGTTCATATAAAATCAATCACATAATTAGTTAAACTTTCACATTAATCAATTAAACTTTTTTTTTATCTCAATTTGACATAAATATAAGTCATGATAATGATGAAGACTTAAGGCTTAAAATATATTATTAATTAATTATTAACTCATGATGATGAAGACTTAGTAATGCTCTAATTAAGAATAAGCACATAAATAAGTATATAGTTATTCTTTTTACTTTCACACACTTCAATCATGTTATCATGTTCTAATTAAAAGTTTTTTTATTATGATAAAAAAATACAAATAACTATTTTGAATTTGAACCTAAATAAATAATGTTTATAGAGGTTTGTATAAATAGAAAAAGGTTATAGTTACATATTTCTATTTATATACCACAATAATGTATGAGTCTGCTCCCTTTAAGAGTTGACATAATGACCCTAGAATGATGGCAACAAGTTTCAGTGATAGAATTGTATTAAAGTATGACATGCTACTACAATGTATATGCCATCTATGTTACTTGCAACACTCATGGTGTGGGAATGAGTTTAAGATGTGACGTGACTTAGTTGTATATTAAATCACGTAAATATAAAATTTATAAAACTTAAAAATATGATTTTTTTGATATTTAGAAGTAATTCTGAATAAATATATCAATTATAATTCAATAAAACTTCCAAAAATATTGGTAATTTTCCAAGTTCATCACAGAGATGTAATATAATATTTGGTAATTATTCAAAATTTTTCTCAATGAATATGATTTTCTATAAATTTTATACTAGTAAATGAAAAGGAAATATATTTAAAATTCATGAAAAAGGGAAATAAAGGTGCGGACGTCAAGACGACGTCAATGCCCGGGGAACGTGAATCGGGCGGAAATAGAGTTCCGCTCATTGATTCTTACATAAGTGATTACAAATGATTTAATTAATCAAATTAAGATATGTAAAAGCCGAAAGAATCATAATAGAACAAAGTATATTTTAGTAAATTAAAATCACAAAATTTATCACTAAATGAAGTGCAAAGTAAGTTGAAAGCAGGAAAATAAAGTTCCGACGTCGCGACGACGATGCTTCAGCAATGCACTGGAATCTTGAGCATTCGAGAGGATCATTGTGTAGTGTCCATGACCTCGAAGGCTCTCTTTAGACAAAGACAATGTGGGCAATCTCTAGATCTTCTCGCAAAGTCTAGAGATTAATGAAATGGGTTGTCGAGTCATCTCCGGTGGCTATCACTCGACAGAGCGGAAAAACGGTGACTTGCGGCTCTCCGACGGCTGTCACCTGACAGAGAGGAGCTGGATGGAGGTGGGGTGCGTGTTAGGGAGCTTCATCCTCAGGTCCGCACAACAAGAGGAGGCTCTTCATCGCATCTGGTATGCTCTTAGGAGGTGGCGACTCATCTCTTGGCGGATCGTCCTCTTTCCGACGACGGCTTATTTGTCAATCAATTGGAGATGTTTTACTCAATGGTTTCGCGATCCTTTTATCGCGAATCGTTCAGCAATTTTAGTAGCAATGCTTCGCGAATCATGTTAACGAGATTTTCGCCGATGATCTAGCGATTCTCGTTGCTTAATCCTTTACCGGTGATTTGCAGGAAAGTCACGATAATTAGATAAAAATATATAAATTTTGACTCTAGGAGGATTCGAACCCATGCTGGTTGCCCCGCCTCTTCTGAGGAAGGTGATGGGTTTAATCCCACATCAGTTGTGTGCTGAATATTCGAGCGTATAAATAGTAATGTAACATTTGTAAGCAAAGTCCATCTCACGCGTGTACGACCACTCCTTTCCCCATAGCCGGCTGGCCACCAGTGACGTGGAAGGGGAGTGGCGCACATGTGCCCCATCAATCCAAGCAAAGCCAAGCCGCTCGAGCTCCTGCTCGTGGCTACTCTCCGACTGAGCTTCTGACTTGCTTGCGGGCCCGGCTGGCCAACGGGTCCCCCCATTTTGTCATATTTTTATTTTTATTTCTTGTTTTTCATTTATCTCAAAAGTAAGACTGTAAAAATTATATAAAATTACATAATTATTTAAAAACTCACATTAATCAATTGAAAACCACTTTTCACACTTTAACACAAATATAAGTCTATTTATCATGAGTTAAGGCTAAAACTATATTATTTAATAATTATTAACTCATGATAATGAAAACTTATCAAGATGTATATAGACATATACATGATATAAACAATATACATGTATCTTATTGATATGTGAGAATGTGCAATAACATATGATAACACAAAATTACATGTGTGGAGTGAGTAGGCTTGCATGCTGTCATGCTGAAGAATGATAGGTGGTGGGTGACATGCTAATAAATGTTTTAGGTTATGTTAAAGCAAAAGAATAATAAGTTAAATCAATACCAACAAACCTTGTAACAAGAATGTTGGCTAGTCCATGTGCAATCCTTGCTAGGCATTGGGAAAATTGGTCCTTAACAAAGATGGTAATCTTGATAACTCCAAAAGTGGTTCATATATGAGAACAAGGTCCCTATGTATAGATGGGATCCATGAGGTGGTTAATCCTACTAGTGATATGTGATTAATTGTCTACTCACTAGATGATGCCATACTCAAAATATCATCAACTTCCTTAGTCTTTGGTTGTCATATCATAGCAATCTATGCATGTGCCTCGACATTACATGCGTGTGTTGTAATGTTGTGCATTGTTGTTTTGCTGTCATGTGCATGCATTGTGTTGTTGCGTACTCTAACAATACCGTGCATGCCAATCATACACAATGTGTTATTTTTTGGGATAAGTCTTTACAATAATGTCTTGATAACATTTCTCCTCACTAGTGGGATATGACATCTTTGTCGGATGTTGTTAAATGTGATTGACGTGACTTAGTCATTGTATAATAAATTATGTAAATTTAAAATTTATAAAATTAGAAAATAGTAATATTTAGATATTTAGAAATATTTTGAACAAATATATTAATTATAATTTAATAAAAGTTCTAAAAATAGTAAAAAAAATTTAAGTCAATCACATATTTAAAATTTGCAAAAAATAAAAATAAAAATATAAATATCAAGATGATGTTAGAGTTTCACTTGATGATTCTTATGTAAGTGATTATATATGATTTAATTAAATAAATTAAGATATGTAAAAGCGAGAAGAATTGTAATTGAATGAAGAATAACTTGGTAAATTTAAATAATATAAATTATTATTAAATGAAATGAAATTAAGTTGAAAGTAGGAAATGTAAACTTCCAATGTTGCAACAATGATCGTTGAAATTCTATGTGTTCGGGAGCATTATCGAATAATGTGCATGACTTCAAAGGCTCTCCTTGGATATGGATGATTTACGTATTTGTTAGATCTCTTTTTGAAGTCTAAAAAATGATGATGAAAATTAAACTAATTAAAAAATAGTAAAATAGAGTTATGATATTGTGACAATGATGCATCAACGATACATTAAAATCTTGAGTGTTTAAGAAGATTATCAAGCAATGTCTACAACCTCAAAAGCTCTTCTTGTACAAGGATGGTGTGGGCAATCTCTAGATCTTATTGTAAAGTCTAGAGATCAATGAAACAGGTCATTGAATCATCTCTGACAACTATCACTTGGCAAAGTAGACAAATGGTGACTTTACAACTCTCTAACGGTTGTCACTCGATAGAGAAGAACTAGATGGAGGTCAAGAGCTTCATCCTCAAGTTTGTGTGACAAGAGAAGGGTCTTCATTACATCTAATACACTCTTAAGAGGTGGGGACTCGTCTCTTGGCAAATCATCCTCTTCCTAACGATGGCTTGTTCATCGATCAATCAAAGATGTATTATTCAATAGATTTATAATCTTTTTATCGTAAATCATTCAATAATTTTAGAAATAATGTTCTGAAAATTGTATTGACAAGATTTTTACCAATGATTGAATAATTTTGGTGGCTTAATCTTTCACCGATGATTTGTAGAAAAGTTATGATTTAATTAGATAAAAATATGAATTTTGGTTATGGTAGGATTCGAACCTGCATCAGTCATTCACTTGTATGAGAGAGAGGGAATAAGTTCTTGAATATCTTTATACATTGATGTCATCTTTAAACTTGTATGGTATTAAATCTTTGAAAACATTATGGGGAAGGTATGACTACTAGTTTAGTTCCACATCGGCTATATGCCGAATGTGGAGATATATACATGATAATGCGAGATTTGGGAATCAATGAGTCCCTTTCTCGCATGTGTACAACCACGCCATGCCTTATAGTGACATGGAAGGGGAGTGGCGCACACATGCCTCCATCAGTCTATAGCCACTCGAGCCCTTGCTCACAACTCTGCCTCGGCTTCTAACCTGCTTGCAAGCCTAGTTGGTTGGCAGGTCCCCCCTTTTTTATTTTTGTTGTTTTCTTTTTCTTCATTTATTTTAAAAACATGATTATAAAAATCATATAAATTCATATAAAATCACATAAGTAGCTAAAAAATCATATTAACTAATTAAATAAATCATATTAACTAATTAAAAAAATCATTTTTCATAAATTAATACAATTATAAATCTATTTATTATGAGTTAAGGCTAAAACTATATTATTTATTAATTATTAACTCATGGTAATAAAGACTTATTAGTGATAACTTTTGATAATTCTTCAAATTACTAAACATTCACATCTTTCTCCAAGTGACTACCTCACATGATAGTCTCATCCACTTGATAAGGTAGAATGTGCTACAATGGGCATGATTCTATCCATCACCATCAACCACCCAAAGATACAAGATGTCTTATGCCTATGTAGAGTATTAAACCTTTATCATGGGTGGTGGCTGGTGTGGTTGACTCCTTTCTAAGTTGTCTTCGTTAATATTATATGCCTTGAACAATGAGAAGTGAAAAGACTAGATGTATTAGGAGGCATTGTGAGAGTTATAGTAGGTAGGCTAAATGTCTTACACACAATAATTAGAAATAACCTATCATATTGGGACACCAATTCATTGTGACATTTCTATCTTTTGACAAATGAGTATATGTACATCAATACCTAGTTGCCCAAGTCGTACTCAACTTCCCTTTGATGATGATTTACATTCTTCTTTATCTATCGTGTTGCTTAGGTTAGGGCCTTGTGAGCTTCTTTTATGATATCTTATTATTGTTTTGCAAAATGGTAAGTTGTTAATAGGTATGACCTCTAGTGGCATCAAAGATTGAAGACCCTTGGCCAACTTAAATGATGAGTGTCCTAAAGACACATTGTTGGATATTATGAGTGAATTAGATGCTATTTAACCACTCAACCTAATTGTCTTAGTGTTTCATTATGTAGTGATGCAAGTATTCCTTGCATATGTCAATGATGCACTTTATCTGTCCATCTATATAAGGGTCTTGATTTGAAATGGTGGTTGATAAGTCTTCATTATCATGAGTTAATAATTAGTAAATAATATAGTTTTAGCCTTAAATCATGATAAATAGACTTATATTTATGTTAAAGTGTGAAAAGTGATTTTCAATTAATTAATGTGAATTTTTAGCTAATTATGTGATTTTATATGAATTGATATAATTTTTACATTCTTACTTTTGAGATAAATAAAGAAAAAGAAATAAAAATAAAAATATAGCAAAATAGGGGGTACTCGCTAGCTAGTCGGGCCTACAAGTAGGTCAGAAGTGCAATCAGGGAGGAGTCACGAGTAAGGGCTCGAGCGACTAAGACCGATAGGGGCACGTGTGCACTACTCTCCTTCTACGTCACTAGTGGCTAGCTAGTTGTGGGGCAAAGAGTGGTCATACATGTGAGAGAAAGTGACTTATTTGGAAATGTAATATTACTATATATTCTCCCGAAACTTTGGTGCACAAGTAATGTGGGACTAAACCAGTGTCACACCTTCCTCCGAAGGCTTCAATGATTTTAATACCTATAATATCCTTTATTTATAATAGAGATATATTATGATGACATCATTTTATAATGGCATTAGAGTACTTATGTCAAACTCTCTCATGTAGGTGGGCAACCAACGCGGGTTTGAATCATCTCAAAATTAAAACTCATATTTTTTTATCTGATTATCGTGACTTTCTTGTAGATCACCGGTGAAAGATTAAGCCACCAGAATTACTGGATCATTGATGAAAATCTCATCAACACGATTTACACAACATTGTTACCAAAATTGTTAAACGATTCGTGATAAAAGAATCATGAATCTATTAAGTAAAGTATCTCTAATTGATCAACAAATAAGCCATCATCAAGAAGCAGATGATCTGCCGGAAGACGAGTCACCACCTCCTAAAAGCATATTAGATTGTAATGAAGAGCCTCCTCTTGCTGTGTGGACTTGAGGATAAAATTCCTTGACATATGCCCCACCTCTATCCAACTCTTCTCTATTGGGTGATAGTTATTGGGGAGCCACAAAGTTGCTGTTTTTCTACTTTGTCGGGTGACAGCCACTAGAGACGATTCGACGACTCATTTCATTGATCTGTATACTTTGCAAAGAGATCTAGAGATTATTCACATCATCTTTGTCTAAGAAGAGCCTTTGAGGCCGTGGACACTACACGATGATCCTCCCGAACTCTTAGGATTCTAGTACATCGTTGACACATCAGTATCACGATGCCAAAACTCTGTTTTCCTACTTTCAACTTATTTTCTGCTTCATTTAGTGATAATTTGTGTGATTTAAATTTATCAAGATATATTTTATTAAATTACGATTATTCTAGCTTTTACAGATCTTAATTTTATCAATTAAATCATTTGTAACCGCTTCTGTAAGAATCACTGAGCAGAACTTTATTTTTGTCTAATTTGTGTCTGCTAGACGTTGACGTCATCTTGACATCCGCACCCTTATTTTCCTTTTTTGTGAATTTTA